GCACCAAGTAACGCGAGCCGCTTTTTGCTCTTCACAGAGCGAATGCGGTATCCATCGGGAAAACAACTTTTTTACACCTAATTGTTCATGCAAGATTATTTGTATTTGACTCATGCCAATGTCTAAAGTTGCCTGAATTTCGCGGTATATCACATGTCGATCTTCTTCAATCAGCTTACGCACAGCATCAACGTTTTCTTAGGTGACTGCAGTTTTTGGACGACCTTGACGGGGATCATCACTGAGCTTGACACGTCCACGTTGAAATTCAATAAACCAGCGATAAATTGTGGTTTTGGATGGGGCTTCATTACCAAATGCAGAAATCATCCGGTCAACACACTGTTTTTGTGTTAAAACACTTCAAAAGTCATAATAAATCATCGCTCGTGAATTTTCTCGAGTCAATTCCATTTTCTCAACGACTAAACAAGTTTGACAAGACCTTGTGATACGACCGAGAATCTTTTTTTAAATAAATAAATGGTATACGATTTTTAAAACCCTGGAGTTTGCAATTAAATAGATTTTAATATGACTGGAACAGTGGAAATATTCCATTCCCGATACTTTTAGTGCAGCCCTCGTACTTATTATTATTCTGTGCTTTGACCAACAACACTGTAACTATGCAATTTATGTATTTGTAAGCTGTTTGTTTTCTGAATAAAACAAAATAAAATAAAATAGGCCCTTTCCAGCCGGCGCCGTGATATACTTTATCGACGTAAAAATGTATGGGCAAATTCGATAAAATGACATGATAACCGCTTATCGCGGCGCGCATCCTAGGCCTACAGGGCACTTTTACACATCCCAAATATAGCTAACAGCTTCCCCTACCACCACTTTGAGACAGCATGTGGGCTGGTGTTGAGAAGAAGTGGCGGAAGAAATTGAATGACGTCAGCAATCTACGATTACAATAACTTGCACATGTCTCTTAAAAATAGTGGTTTCTAACCTTTTTTGGACCAGGGAGTACTTTGATTTTTTTGTTTTTCACAGTACCATTACCTAAAATAAGACTGAAACTTTAAACTTTACAAACTTTTTTTAAGAAAATCAACTTTGTATCGTATGGTTTGTATCATTTAGGATGTACAGAAGATGGAACAAGAATTAATAGTAATCCTGCCTGAGAAATTTCATATCGTTCGCGGCGTTTACCTTTGGTAAAATAGTTTTGATAGTTAGTCTTTGACAACACTAGGACAATCTTACCCCAAGAAATCGCCTGGACCAGTCACTCTCCTGTTGATGATGACCTTCATAATTTTCGCAAGCACTTCATAAGTGGGTCCTGACAACTCTTTGGTGATTTTCCCTTCATATTTCTCCTTCAGCTCCTCTCTGTAAAAAGAAAATAAGAATCAAGTTTGTGAAACTTTAAATGGATGATAATATTTTTATGCATAACAGGGCAAGTATTTGACCACAATCGCACCTGGTGGTTAATAATATGTGTCACAAGGTGATTATAAGATATAATCTTTAAAACTTACTCAGTAAATGGTAATTCCAAGCTGGTTTCCTCTTCAATGCCAAACAGCAGTACCAAATAGTGGTACCTGGTCTGACCCTGCTTGATGGGGGGGTCTAGGGAAACCACAAAGAACATTTGCCTCGTATCCTTATGGGGGAGCAGGAACAGACGTAACACGGTCGACATGGGTATCTTGTAGTCAAACGTTTTACCGTGGAGCTGGAAGAACGTCTGGAACACTTTGATGTCGTAGCGACCACTGGAATAAACAGGAGAATTTATGACAATAAATAAACATAGATTTGTTTGTGTAGGCAGGAATTTTAAGTGCATTTTTTTCTTACATATTATAGTCTATTCATACTGACATTGTTAATGTCTTTAATTAAAACATAATGATACATTATTTATAATCTGAAGTGGCTGTAGTTCTCTAGCCTATACACTCGAAATCTGGACCATGGTATATGTATTTCACAAATTCAGCAAATGTTGCACAATAGTTAATCAATATTGCATCAGTGGTCATATGAGGCATACCAATGCATATTATTATCTTGTTTGTGTTTTGTATAAAGCAGCACTTCAAGAGCCAAAGCACACGACGCCGGAGCGGTATCGCTGCGTCGTCTTACATATAAATATTTGTGACAGTCGCCGCGTCGCGCGATACGGCGAAATCTTTATAGTGCGGCGCCGCAACGCATTGTGTGCTTTATCTCTTAATCATCATACAAACCGAGGTGTGAGGCATTGCAGTTCCCTGAAGATGGCGATGGCATCCCCAGAGACGGATATGACGCTGGCCTTGTTCATGACCTGCTGGTGGAACGCCTCCACGGCGTCCATGTCTCCAGCCAGCTCATTGGTTGGGATGTGGAACCGCATCTCCATGAGAGATACTGGTGTGTCATCATTCTGAAATTGTAACACATTTATTTAAATGCCATATTATTACATGGAGTGAATCGACTAATCATGAGAATAATTACAATTTTAAACAATGGGCATACACTGTATAGTTTTAAGACAATAAGCTGCTAATGTAAATATGTTCCCGTAGTTTTGGAGCCTGTTCATTACAAACAAACAATTAAATCTTTCCATTTATAATATTAATATAAACTAACCTTTTTTTATGGGATAGGACGCAATCAAGCAGAGACCCTATTGCTAAAATGCTAATAGGATAAAAATTACCTGATGGAACTCAAGAGTGACTTCATTCTTGCCAGTGTTGCACTGTGAGACGTAGTGCAATGGGATCTCGAAGGCTGTATTTGTACCAACATTGAAGCTCAGCACGGCTCCGTTAAACTTAGCCGTGCCCCAGTTCCAGCCCTTGAGCGACAGCTCTTTCTCCAACATGTCCTTGTTGTAGTTTGCCTTGAAGAACTTGGCCACTTTCTCTTGTTCCTGGTTTTCAAACAATTTCATTAATTGCTTTACATCAACTTTATGAGTATTTCAATCTTGGTAAAGATTTGATGAAGATCTTGGTAAAGACATTGATAGTCTTAATTACAAAGATTTGCTTTGATATTCTTTATTCTCGTAGTTTTTTTGGTATGATTTAGTTGATTGCAGTATCCATAAGCTTGAAGGTATGAAATCATTGACTTTTTTCACTAATGAATAGAAGCCTTTTACTACCATACTATGTATGTGACAACTATTTAGAGTAAGGCCATGAATTTAAGGAGCTCAGAGCAAGGTGAATTCAGGAACAATGTGGATTCTAGATTTGGCTCTTACGATGATGTAGGATAGATATCATAGACATATTTTTGCAACCATGTTTGCAACACATTGTTTTTATGTTAATGTTACTAATGAATGAAGTGTTCATAAGATTTATTCAGCACTCACCCCTTCTTTAAAACCTCCATATCTATGTAGAGTGCCGTTTTTCATGAAGACACGAAGGCCCCAAGAGCCTATGAACTTCTGAAAGTTAACAAGCTCTATGTCGTTCGCTGATACTTGCTCGACCTTGCCAGTTTTGCTGTTTTTGAATATTATATTTTGGTCCGTCATTTTCAACCTCCCTGGAACCTAGAGGAAATGGTTAGGTTGTTAAAGAGAGGCAGACCATCAGTCACGTTGTAAACAAAGATATTTCTATGTATCTTACCATGGTTCCCTTAATTTCAGCAGACACATCGTTATATTCTAAGAACTCCATAACTTTACAATTTAAAGGACATACACCAGCGACTGTATAAAGTAAATTTAAATATTTTCCACGCGGAATCAATCGGCGTCCGACAAATTTTGTCGCCACAAAATGCGCCAAGCGGGTGAAGCGGGTGAAGAATGTCAAATAATAATCACAGATTAGAGAGTAATAATAATGTCAATCGGCCAAAACGTCAAAAAAATCATAGACTATATAGAAGTACGTGTCAAAATGAGACAATAGTGTTGTTCTTGACTGGCGAATAGGCACATTGCAATCAATCGAATAGGCATTTAAAGACGAATTATGATGAACATGACGAAACTTAAGAAATCGATTACAATTTAAAACATTATTAAAAAATCTCTCTAACCGTAGTTAGTACTTTCTGAAATCCAATGTTTTTTTTTGTGTAAAACGAGATTTGAGCTCAAACTGATATTGAGCTTTAAGCTATATTTTTTTCTGTGCCCTTTAGAAAAAAAATACTGACAGCTACGTCAAACGTCAAAACATTTGACAGTTGATTTTGTATCTTTTTGCGAACGGTCGTGTTTGTGCAATTCATAAATTATTCCGACTGCATTTATTTAAAAACTATACTTTTTTAATATTTTCCACATTTTATAAGTGAACGTAGGTAGATTACTGTGAAATTTTACAAAATTTAGTGACTGTTTTTAGTGTGCCTGGCGCCTTCTATCTGGACCTAACTGGGTCTCAGTCTGATCACATCGTACAGTTTTTGTAGGTGTGTTTTGCATGTGTGGACCTTATGGCGTCGCTATCGCTGCCGCGGGTCCTTCAGCTTAAGAAGAATAGTCTGGACGCCGAACGCGAACAGTTCGAAAAATTCCAGGTAAGCTAAATTACTACCTTCACAATTTTACATACAACAATCTACAAATTATGTGCAACTAATTTGCCACTGAGTTCTTAATGTATTTAACACTTAACAAAGAATTTTAATTTGAATGATTTCATTCTGCTGGTAAAAAAAAGTTTGTTTCTTTATCATCATCATAATATGAATGGAATTGTTCACAAAGCTCTTAAATTTGTAAGACACTAGAATTAACAACATTAATATTTTTAGTTTCAAACTTTATTGCTAGAACAGGGTATAAACGGCAAACTGAGTTTCAATTTTGTCTCCTAGTTGACCATTGGGCCAAGCGAAAATTGGAATAAGTGGCGCATAAAGGTTCATGTTATTATTTAACAATTGCAGTAAACTATAGATAATATGTTGACTGATTTCGAAACATTATGTAGGTAAAATTAATTCATTCATGTAAAAAAACTTTCGGTTTTTAGATAATAATACAATGGAATCACACTTTCCTATATTAATAGTATGGTTTGTAATGTCTCAGGTCACTCATCTGTTGTCATATTTCATAAGTATGGAATTGCATTTCTTTTCAGACAAACAAACACAATGAGATTTTTTAATTTGTGTTGTTTATTTATTCCCTGGGAATGAAACCCAGGAGATCCCAGGGATCTACCATCTCTAATTGAAATAGAATGTTTTATGGAGTAAGTATAAGACCCATTAGAAAATAACAGTGATACTTAACTAAGTATGAACTCCACCAACCTATACTGTCTGGCAAAAAGTGTGTTTTAGATTTGTGTTACACTCTCTGTGTGTTCTCTTTAACAATTTATGCATTTTTGTTATTAGTTGCCTAAAAATCTGTCTACACTATTATCACCATATTATTATCCATGAATAAGTTTAGTTCTTTTTGTGAATATTTTAGGCACCAGCTCTCACAATGCTGATCTATAGTTAAACAGATAATATTATACGAAATGTTATTTCCTAAGTATGTTACTGATCTGTTGTGAGAGAAATAAATAAATTATTTATTATTATTATTTCAGACTACTTATGGTAAGTCAGTATTCTATTCTACTGATAGTATCTATCATCAATTTATTTTTTTCTATTTAAAAACTTACTGGTACTTTATTTATTTATTTATTTTCTTTAATAGGAAAACATACAGCTTATATTATAATACAATTAGATACTTATTGACCTCACACCATTCCTAGTATTAATGACGTGTGTGCCAATTCCCCTATTGTAATTTACGTGATTGCCATCCCGCATTCCCGCACGGCAGGGGAAACAGCTTGTTACGCCACCGCCACGGATGGCCAGGCGTACTCGCACGCATGTCGCAAACCGACGTCGTTACGTCACGGACCGACAACACCTGAGCAAATGCTGACTTGAATGGTCAGTAATAGATGTAGATCAATAGTCGTCCGTCATAAAAGAAAAATCTAGCAATTAGGTATGCCATTCTCATTACAACTGACAATGCACAAATTAAGATGCTTTTGTTCATTAACATTTTTGAGAAGTTTAATATAAAACAGTTGTCTTAAGCCGAACCACCTGGCGCGTAAAACGGCGCGATTTGTGGCGCGATCGTTCTTGATCGTCGTACGAATTCCTTAAAAAATCTGCCATGTAAACCGCCCTTTAGCCGTCATCGCTCGACATCCGCTTCTCATGTTCATCATATAATCAGCTATCTTACCATATTCACCTTAGAACCAAGAAGTTTTGTGTCAATATCAAAGTCCTAGAAAGTTTATTTGCGTGGTCACCCCTTTTCTTTCTCTGTTATCTTTCCTTTCTTTCTTTTTCCTTACATCGCCACCTCTATGTATTGTACAAATCTTTACAACCTATTAATGTAATTCTTTATCATACTTTTCTTTTACCAATATTTGTGCCTTATTTGTCTGAATTGATATTCGAAAAAGTTTCATTATCAATCAACATTGAGGATAGCATCCAGATAACGATTGTTATGAATACTGTTCGATACCTTATCTACTTCGTTGTATGAGTATTACTTTAGTTTTGCTGTGGTTTTGCAGATATAAAGGTGTGAAAGAACGTTCTAGTAAAATTAAAGATCTTTTTCATTCTTTTTACGTCGTGTTATCACCAATTAATCCTGCTAGGTAAGTGTAACAATACCAAATGATATAAAAAATTTTGATGCGACATAGTTTTAAAAATAATAAATAAGGTGAATGAACTGTATAGGTACTAGAGATAAAGGCCTTTTATGACGTTCTTTCAATATAAGTACGTAGGTAATTCTACTTAAAATAAAAGCTAAAATGGAGAAAACAAAAACTACTTTTGTAATTACGAACGGTAAATTATGCGGATCACTTCACTGGTATCAAAACGATTGTTTTCTACCAAGTTAACCCACTTTTCTTTGCGTTACAAATGTAGGTAAATAAAGCGATATATTTTATCAATTGGAGAGCTGTCAAACTGGTCTCGAGTTCAGTAAACTGCCCGTAACTATGGTCTTCCGCCCACATCCCAACACGATTATCTCATCGTGATCCTCCTGTGTACGTCGCTCGACTATCACAAAAGTAATGCCGACAATGGGATAGCTGGAAGCCTGGTAGTCATGTTAAAAGTTAATATTTTTAACATCCCCCTTGTTCAAAATTCAAACCTGTAAGAAAAAACCTGCATTATTTATCATTCAAGGAACTAATTACGCAAAACAATCAACAACGATTAAATGTGCAATGATAAAGTCTCAAGACAACTTCTGATCTTTGTACGGCGATGAGTCACGATTCTTGACGGTATAAAGAGTTATGTGTTTTTTATATGTCCTACAAAGTGTTTTATTATGTTTTGTCGTAGAACGAACACACGACATTGAATTTAATCAGCAGAATCTTAACGCTAAAGTATAGTACCATTCGGCTGGATTTTTTTTAAATTTTCCTACATTAATCGAAAATTAATGGATTACTTATAAATTCTCAAACCCCCACTAAAATGACGATAACAACGTAGGTATGATTAAACGTGAGTCTCGTATTCGTGACCCATGTGAACCGTGTCAACCGAACCTGTACTGTGAAGATTTATAGACTGTACATACAAGCACATTCACATCATTCATTCCAAAGATATTCAAGAAGCCTTTGTTTCATTCGTCAGAAGCGCTGATAATTATCATGCATGGATTTTTGGATTTTCTCTCAAGTCGTGTACGACAGTGAGAAACGACGAACGAGCGATCAATTACTATGTCAACAGCATCACAATATCAAAGTGATATTGGCTCGCCCTCGCCGTTTGAGGTCGTGACATTATGCAGGTAACAGGGCCTCAGAGCGGTTTCCTTAAGCGAGTGCCGAGTACCTCCCACCAGGTGAGACCTCGATTGCGCTGATCTCAAACTTACATGCAGTTGCGATTTCGCGAACAGTCGATAACAGTTAGTTTGCACTTGTGCCGTGCAAAATTTTTCAATGACATTGTGCGGTTTAGTTAAAATTGCAGCTACCAACGAGAAACACTATGATTTTTTACTCATATGGCCGATTGGTTGAGTCTACATAGACTTAAATGACGTGAATGGAATGCCAGAGTCGCAAGTCGTTGTAGGAATGAGTAATGCTCATCTGATAGTGTTAGCATATGGAGTTTTCCTTCACGATGATGACTAAGCAGTCTCAAACCGCAATGTTTAGCGCATCTTAACACAACCGGTTTGTGTTTATTGGTTAGCTAGTAGTGCATTTGATATAGGCAATACTCATTGCTGATAGGATGTGAAATGCTCGGTATATGATACTGTGTACTGTCACATCAATCTTCGTTATAATACATTGTGTCTGCTGTACCTACAATGCCTAATAACGTAGGGTCAATGGATGTGCCTTGCTCCTAGCGCATTTACCCTTGGCTTGACGCTTCTCAAGAATCTGCCCTCTCAAGTTGTCTTTGGATGACATGTTATTGTTTGTAAACAGATAACTCAGATCTTCGTCATATTTACCTATCTATTCAAATAATATTTTGCTTGCTTATTTTGTCACATTAGTGCTTCTTCAATAGCTTGAATAGCTTCGGTTACATTAATGTATCTCTAGCCCGTCGTCATTGTAAGTAAATAAGTGTGGGAAAAACGATTTCCGCAGAATTTTCTCCCATATAAAGATAGCAGAATTAAAATACCAGCTCTGGACGACTTTCGTTCAATTTCACATCTTGATGTTCATTAGGCTTAGCCATATAAAGCGCGATCTTCGTCGGTTTCTTTGCGAGCTTTCTAATTATGGTCGTTTTCACACCCATGTTGCAGTTTGCTTCATTCACCATTCGACACAGTATCGTCCCACCGAGTGGTTTCTTTTTTACTGTTATCTATATGGCAGTTATGACAACCAGAATGCGTGAAGGTTTTGTTGATATTATCGCGCTCACTGGTCTGAATGGAAATGCAGAAAACCATGTACTAATTTCACATAACGGTTTTAAAAATAACCATACCTGGGTTGATGACCTAACTAACCTCGCAGCGCATCATCAGAATCCCAACTAATATTATAAATGCGAAAGTAACTCTGTCTGTCTGTCTGTCTGTCTGTCTGTCTGTCTGTCTGTTACGCTTTCCCGCTTAAACCTCGCAACCGATTTTGATGAAATTTGGCATAGAGATAGTTTGAGTCCCGGGAAAGAACATAGGATAGTTTTTATCCCGGTTTTTGAAACAGGGACGCGCGCGATAACGTTTTTCTGTGACAGACAAAATACCACGCGGGCGAAGCCGCGGGCGGAAAGCTAGTACAAAATAAACAAATTAGTTAAACACTTTTGGCGTCAATTGTAAGTGGCGGTAACATTCTTCTTTCGACTGATGACGGTCCATGACCCTTCGAAACAATAGGTGCTAAGTTGAGACGTACTTCAAAAAGTATTTACACCAACGTACACAACACAATCAATGTCCTCTACCTCAATGCAACTAGTAGCTGTATTACTAACATCCTTAGATTAAT